TCAAGTGTGCAGGTTCTTTCTTAAATAAAAATAGAATGTCGTCAAAATAACATGCAATATAGCAGATTCTAGGCATTAATGAACACTGGTCTACTGCTCCTCGGACGATCTTGAATGAGTATAAGCACCATAAAATTATTACAGTGATATGTAGCTATATACCTAAGCATATAAGTATAATCTAAACGAAACTTTGAACTTAATTTATTTAAAAAAGATTGGACAAGCAGCTACGGCGAACAGTATGCGTTTTTTACTTTAAAAGTGCGATTGCAGCACAGACAGGTTTGTTTCGCAGTTACTATGTATACTCATAGATTTCGTGCCATGCTCCAATTAAATTTGCTATGTCAGGGGAGTTTTGGATAGAGCCTTACGTTAGCCTACGGAGCTACGATTACGTTTCCAAAAAATTCATGTTTAATAACATACTATTTCACTAATTTGATAAAAGCTGGACACACAGCTGTACATGTCACGCATGACACATTTTGTCATCGCTTACCATAGGTAGAGGTTTAATTTAATTAGAGTCACATCAGCCGGGGACACCTGAGGATCATAAAAGTGAGACAGCGAGATATATCTTTTATGTCAAGCAACTGCGACGAGTAAGGACTCTATTTAAAAGGATGATTTCTACAAAATACTGTTTCTTTTAGCTGATACGGTGCATGCGCTAACAGAGGTCTTCTATTGTGATAGAGAGGAATTCCGTCTGCCTAGAGAGATGATCAGGGAGATGTTTCATGTCAAGCTACTGATATGTATACGCTCGCTAAATTCAACGTGAAACTAAAGGAAAATTGTTATTTTATATATTGTAAAACAACCAAATTCACAGCTGCACGGGTAACGTAGAACGCTTATCGCTATACGTCGCACAGCGGTATCTTGGAATCAGTGAGGCCACAGGATTTATATTTTGAGTCAAACTACTGCGACGAGTATGCGCTCTCTATTTTACATTAATAATTTCAACAGAAGATCATTTTATTTCGCACATACTGGGCACGCACGACAAGTATTTTGCTGTTGTACAGGATTATTAGCATTTCCCTAAACACATACATCCCAGATTCCAATGAATGCAAACATCAATAGCTATTTATTGTATCATATATACGACATCGGTGACACATCGCAGTAAAACCATTAGTGTACTTCACTAATTTCAATGTAATAATACATCGGAAGCCTTAATGTCAACGACGATAAATGTCCATGTCAATGTCCGTCCGTCAGTCCGTCAGTCCGTCCGTCCGTCCGTCCGTCCGTCCGTCCGTCCGTCCGTTCTTCCATCTATCCAGCCACCATCCATCCACCCACCCATCCATCCACCCATCCACCCATCCACCCATCCACCCACCCATCCACCCATCTACCCACCCATCCATCCACCCATCCATCCATCCATCCATGCATTGGCTGTCGTATTACAGTGACGTAGCTTTTATTTTTTGAAATTAGATCGATAGGCGTATTTAAACTGACAAGTTAATAGTTATTGGTTGATACATATTTCCTACGTTTTAAGTATGTAAATCGGTTCGGTGTTAGAGAGTCACACAAGCGAGGTTTCCGGCCCCTCCCAGAACAGGAAGTTAAAACGAAGAAAATGTAGCATCCGAATGAATATTAGATAAAATGGCACAACATTGAATTTAGCAAAGCAATCTTTGACGTCTATTTGTGAACTATAGGATCGCTGTACCAACGACATGCTGGCGTGGGAACGTGTCTATGCAAATCATCCAAATGGTAAATGTACGCGCCATCGTGTATCTTCTCTAAGCATAGGCGCAGAGAGATTAATAGACAAATACGTGACCAAAATCTAGCCCGACGTTTAAAGCGAATAGTGTATAGTTTGTGTTTTAGAAATTTCAATTATGTCATGTCAGCGCTGAAAGCTGTTAACAATTTCTTTCTTTTCCTCGTCATTCTGAATTGTTCGATTGCGGAATCACGAACGTCATTATTAATCATGTAATCACGACAACAATCGCAGCGTAAATATACGTGTGAATTCTGCATGATAAATTCGTTTTGACACTATAATGCTACGCTTAATTATCAATATTCTCGACACCGGATTTCAATTAGATTGTTTTCGCCGATAAGACGTATATTCAGAACAACTCGTGTAATTTTGCACGATCACTTTTATTAATTACATCAATCACATCAATATTTTAGACATTTGTAACTTTTCAAAGAAAGAACTGCGAATCTCGCTACATCACAGATGGCATCAAAATCATTATATCAGCTGAAGAAAATAAATGTAGGTAAACCAAAACGTGATTAAAGTGTCTGATGAATAACGTGATATTGTAAATTCATATTCGTGTCTTGTCCATTCGCTTCTGTTTAGTCATTCTAATTCATATGCAGCGTGATCCATTCATAGAAGGTAGAGACTCGAGCGTAAACACCAGCGTAGCCTGGACGCGCACAGCCCCTGCCCCAGGAAACCACACCAATCTGCTGCCCTCCGTTCTTGGAAATCATTGGTCCGCCGGAGTCACCCTGAAGAATGAAATCCAAAACACGTATGAGTAACGTCGACTAAAGAATTCATTGCAACAAGCAGGGAAAAATATATGCAACACACGAAAATGCGAATAAAAAACAATTACAGCACATATCACACTAATAGTCATCGTGACAAAACCTATATTTTATATCCTGCTAAATTCATGAGAAGATGTAGGCCTACCTGGCAGGCGTCTTTACCACCTTCTGGGTATCCCGCACACAGCATGTCGTCGGTAATAGAAGATGATCCGTACTGTTTCTTGCAAAGTGCGTTAGTGATCACGGGTACTTGCACAGCCTGGAGGATGTTGGATATATATCCACCTACAATAGAACGCAAACATAAATTTCACGTTGAATAAGAATGAACGCGGGTTGGGGTAGCAAAGAGAATGTGGATGTACGTGCATGCGCGTGCGTGCGTGGGCGTACGTGCATGGGTGCGCCAGAGCGTGTATGGATGTACGTGTGTTCTCTCGCGTATGAGCGATCGTAAGCAATCGTAACGCAAAACTTCATTGATTAATTGACACATTTCTTTTTAAAATGACTGAAGTTCCTATTAAACACATCTTTCTGCAACATTCAAGATTGAATACGTCTTCTCTGACTGCTCTGCATGACTGTATGACCATAGCATGTTATGCTTTCATTGTGAAAGATGCGTTCTTGCGATACGCTACCTTCTCGGACGGAACCCCAGCCAGAAACCATGGCGTCTTCTCCGGCGTAACTTCCGCTGTTTGTTCCTGCCAAACCTATGGGACTGGCGGTTTCAGAATATGAAATGGTGGAGCTCAGAATCATGGTAGCGACGTCGTTATCCATACCATTATAATCGCCGTACGAACCGTGCGTGTGAATCTTTCTCACCTATTTATATAATTTATATAAGTAATCCTATATAAGTACGCTCCCCGTTTTCAAATCAAAATACAACGGATTTAGGATAGATATAATATTACGAACATTAAAAAATTAACGTTTGCTTATTGCATTATATATTACTGAGGGAAATAGCTCTCATTTGTCGTGGGTTTTCATGTTAAGTTCTGAAGTAGACGTGCTGCTCACACAGAGCACTCTTTGTTCAGAGCAAGATTGCATCCGATTATAACCATGGCAAAATATGAACGAAATCACACGTCATCTGCAGCGATATAATTTACACTGGGTACCAGCGTATGTGCATTACTTACGCCTGCCGTATGTCCATCAGTTGTAATATCGGTGATACCATATTTGATAGAGAAGGAACTGACGTAGTTTTCGAACCTGCAATTCATCGTGTTAAACAATCAAATAGCATCTGAAATACGATCTCCAATAATCAGACTAATAGTTTCAACATAATGTTAATGATTCTTACTCATTGTCATTTATCTTAAACGATACATTTTTAACAGAGAGCGTCAGCTTTTGGACGTACATAGTCGCTAGACAGAACAGCAATTGGAATATTAAATAGTTTACGTATAGTCAT